AGCAGCGTCAGCATTAGACTCACTGGGGCCCAGGCAGAAAGCCAAAGCCCCTGCATGGGGCTGAAGCCCGGGTCCCTGAGCCCCACACTTAGGGCTGAAGCTGAAGTCTGGAGCAATATAGCTTCATGGGGGACCCTGTGGCGTGGGGCCCCAGGCAACTGACCTGCTTGCTACCCCCTAACACCGGCCCTGGCTTTTATATGCAGAAAACCAGCTATCATGGCACAGGTGGGCCGTGGAGTTTTTATAGCATATGGTGGTGGTGGTGGTAGGGGGCCTCAGAAAGGAAAAGGTTGAGAACTCCTGCCATAGAGGTTCTTAGATCTCCGCTCCGGAGCCGGAGGCCTATTTGCAGGGGAGCGGCCAGCAAGCCTCAACGTTTCTTCCGTTTGAAAGCCAGGGGTATTTCTGAACGGCGCTCCAGGAGCCTTATGGCCCTGAGTGCCATCGACAGGGCAGAGGAGTGGAGAAAACCCAGTGAAACATCGCACAATCCTGGCGGATTTGGAGTAAGAGGATGGAGAAAACCCCGCTGATTTGGGGTGGGGTGCGGCGGGGGAGGGGAAGATAACTTGGCATAGATTTTTCCCAGATTCCCCTGCTGATTTATGGCACCCCAGGTCAGGCTTCTCCATTGGGAGCAGCACCACTCGTTGCTATGGCAACAACTATTCAGCCTCCTTTCTTCAGGGGGTTCGATCTCAGGCAGGGGACGAGCATCTTCTAAGCCCTACAGGAAGCAGCGAGCGTGCGCTTGCGTAGTGGGGGGCGAGGAGTGGGGGGAAGGAGAATCCAGTTTTTGGCACAAAACGTTCCGAGTTAAGAAAGGGAAGTGGCAGCAGGGTGTTTGAAATAGGGAGATTTTTCAGATCCCAGTTCCTCACTTTGGACACTGCTTCAGCTCATCCCCAAATGGCCACCGTGTTTTGAGAGCCAGAGAAAGGCGAGAGAGAATTTTAGGCCTGATCTCCCCCGCGGTATAGCCCCAATTTCAGCATCTGGTACAGAACAGCAAACTCCCCAAGTCCAGTTCTCCAGGTCCCCGCTCCTTGTTGCACCCATTCACCCTCAGTGCAAAGCAGGTGCAGCATGTGATCAGATCAGAATGGGAGTGTTTTACAGGCACCGTCCTCGGCCCGCCGCCAGATCAGACCAGGACCTTGCCCTGCTGTGACTGCACGAGGCGTGGAGCCATGGGCATCAGGGCCATAACTCCTTGGTGTATTTCGGTCCTCCAAACCTTAACTCTGCAGCACAATCAGAGGCAGACAGCAGCTTGGGCAGACATACCTGAGCTAGCACTGTTAAAAACCGCAATGTAGATGTGGTGGCACAGGCTTCAGCAAGGGCCGTACCAGCATGCCGGGAGCCTGGGTACACACTCGCGTTGCTAGCCCGTGCCACTGCATCTTCACTGCTCCGTTTAGCAGTGCTAGTGCGGGTAAGGTATGTCGACCCATGCTGCAATCACGCCTCGGGTCGCCGTGTGGACACACCGTTAGAGTCAGGATTCCAGCCCCGAGCGCTAATTCAAAAGTCACTTTCTACAAGTATTCCGCTTGGTTGTGCAAAGATCCACCATTTCCCCCCTCAAGAGACTTTCACTAGTGAGCTCTCTCAGTAGAATAACTGCAGGAAGCAAACGCAGCCAAAACACGGTCCTTTACAAAATCCAAACCAACGTTCCGTGGGGGAGGGGTTCACAGCAACCACGCAGCCCTAACTAAGGAGAGAAGTCCCCATTGCCACGTCTGTTAACGGCCACAGCTCGGCTCCCCAGTGCCAACACGAGGGCTCGTTCAGACCGGCTAACACAGAAGACATTCACGAATCCACAGCAGCGGGATAAATGGAACAAATAATCCTATTTGAGCATCTATACCCTGCTCTGCAGCCAGAGGTTTAATACAATTTCTGAAACGCACATTGTCACACGCAGAGATAAGAGACAAAGGGTTTGGAGCCAGGGACTCCTGATCACTCACTACAAACATAATAAAAGAAAAGGGGGACGAGAGATACAGGAAATAAATGCTCTGATAGCAGAATGGCTTTTTCACTGATCGTTCTGCTGAGCTTTCAACCCACAGCTCTGGTGGTTGCTTGCTCAGTGTTTCCTGCTCAGTCTGGAAAGCATAAATTTGTCTCAGTTAAGCCTTGTCCTTTCTGGATGGATACAAGCAGACCAGGGATCACAGGGTTAATTACGTACACGTTAAATAAGAATAACTGTGTTAAAAGAACACGACGACTGAGCTCAAATGACACGAAAGTGAGATAATTCAGATTTCTCTTCCAAAGTCTCCTTGACTCACGCTCATCCCCCCTCCCACACGTGTGTTTTGTATTATCGCATGGGGCTGACCATGAACTTCAACGCCATAATCTACAGTTTGTAATGGATCCAGATGACACTTGTTTGTCCTTGTTTGAAATATTAATATTTCAGCCTTAAACGTAGATTTCTTCCTTTCTTTTTTTTTTAAATGATGAAGGGAAAAGACAAGAACTTTGCATTTGTGATTAAATACATTCTCGGTGGAGATCACTCTTATTTAGGACAGGTTTCAGAGTAGCAGCCGTGTTAGTCTGTATCCGCAAAAAGAACAGGAGTACTTGTGGCACCGTAGAGACTAACAAATTTATTAGAGCATAAGCTTTATGCATCCGAAGAAGTGGGCTGTAGTCCACGAAAGCTTATGCTCTAATAAATTTGTTAGTCTCTAAGGTGCCACAAGTACTCCTGTTCTTATTTATGAAGCATCTAACCTGTGCTAGTGAGAGGAACACACAGAGTTGCTTTGCACCAAGCCATGATCACACCTGGGTGTTAATTTCAAGATCTATTCACTGGAATAAATGCAGCTGTGATGGTGGATTACAGCATTTCCCCTGCTCTTAATTATTTTCAGAGAGGGCTGCATGTCAGGATCCTAAATTTATGATGCTTTCACCATTTCTATGCCAGCTTTTAATGGCCCCTAGTCAAGTGACTTGCCCTAAGCAACCTTTTAAAATAGTCCTTCTGAAAATGCTGCTTCTTTCAAATCCTTCCTCATCATAGCTCACTTAGGCCAGGTCTACGCTACAGTGGCACAATTTACGGCACCGTGGCATAGATGCTTCCTACATGGATGGAAGGGGTTTTTCCATCGATGTAGTTAATCTACCTCTTCGAGAGGCAGTAGCTAGATTGGCAGAAGAGTTCTTCTGCCATTGACCTCGCTGTGTCTACACCAGGCTTAGGTACACCTACCTACAGTGCATCATTTTTAAGTGTAGACCAGGCCTTAGTTTGGAGCCTTTCATCACTAATCTCTACCTACTCACAAACCTGGTCATGTAAATCAAATAACCAGGCATTAGGAAACAGAATAGAGGATATGATCTACCATCATCAGTAAAACCACCTTCTCCCAAGAAAAAACAACAAGGAATCCTTGTGGTACCTTAGAGACTAACACATTTATTTGGGCATAAATAAGTTATTAAGTAAAATATTTATTATAATGTAAAAATAAAATATGTATGCCCAAATAAATGTGTTAGTCTCTAAGGTGCCACAAGGACTCCTCGTTGTTTTTGCTGATACAGACTAACACGGTTACCACACTGAAACTGTCTCCCAAGAGCCACTCTCTCCCCCCACCCCATCTGACAGTGATCTCTTGCCACTGCCCCATGTGCTAGCCTGCAAATTGATCTGCAGAGGAAGCCTCCTTCCATGCAGGACCTATTTGAAGTTATTTCAGCTTGCAGGACCTTCCTATGCGTCCGTACTTCACCACACCCACACACACACACACACACACACACACACACACGACATTACAGCAATATGGGGCGAGGGGGAGAATTCTCCCCCTCCCCCCAAAACAAAGGCTTGAACCCCCATTTTTCCTACAAACAGCCAGCACCAGCCCAAACCGGTGCAACACCCAACAGCTCACCCGTTGTCACAGCGCAATGCCTGACAGCCACCTCCAGTTCAGGCCACCCCAAGCCCTCTGAATAACTGCAGCATCCCAGAGCATCTGCAAGCAACCCTAGGAGAACAACAAAGCCAGTGCAGGCAGCTCTGGGACAAGGAGCCAGCTAACATGTGCAGTCAATCAGGGGTGGGGGAGAGAAACTGAGGTTTACAAGGGGGGGGGGGAGAGGAGGGTGTCTTTACGAACAAAGACGAATTATAAAAAGGGGCAAGAAAAATCAACATGAAATAAGCAGCTTCCTGTTAAGAAAAAAGGGGCCACTCCAGGCCCATGTGACAGATGGGGGGGGGGAGGGTACAATGGGCAGGGTGAATTCCTTATACCATGTTTTCTCATAATCATCCTTAAGGCAGGGGGGTGGAGAGGGGCAGAATGGATGTAATGGCTGGGCCCCTGTCCAAGGGTCCCACTCCCCCACCCCTCAGGAGCCATCTGCCTGGCTCAGCTGAAAGCCAGTTTCAGTTTTCCTTTCCCCTCTGAGCGCAGAAGCTGCTGGCCAGGGGCTAGTTTAGAGGGGACCCCCCAGAACCAGGCATAGTAACCAAAGGACATAAGGCCACCTAGAGCGCCCCCTCCCACTCGGCCCGCACCCCTCCTCCCCCACCGCCCACGGGGGCTTGAATCCCCCCCCCCCATCTCCACCCTAGCAGATGAAGTGACATTTTCTCCCTTTGCAAAACACAAATGCGGTGGATTATTTTAGGGGGTGGGGGAATACGTAACGCTACCCCCCTCTTTTAGCATGACCTGCTTTTCTCTTTGTGGGGGTGAGGAGGGGAAACCCCCCCCCTCCTTAAACCCGCTCCTCCACGGTCCTCACTTACTTTCAGCCCCTTCTGGTTCATTTCACAAGCAGAGAGTCCAGCTGCCCCTGGTCAGTTTCAGGCTCTCTCTGTTGTACCGGGCTTGTTTATGTCCAGGACCAGGGAGGTGGGAAGGAGAAGGGGGGGGCTGCCCCCCAACACACACACACACACGGCGGCTCCTGGGTTAGCCGAGTCCACCTACCATTTCTCTGGCAGATCTTGCAGGGGAGGGGCTTTTGTTCTGGCTTTAGATCCCAAATTCTCCCGGAGCAGCAGCAAGACACATCAAAAGGCAAAGATGTTACATTGTAGCCATTTTATGTTAAGCAGCTGTCGCGAGACCGAGGGTGATGGTGGAGGGGGGGGAAGGGGGAGGGATTTGTTATAGGAGGGAAGTGAGGGATTAGATTCCTTTAGCAAAGGCGGGGGGGGGGAGGAGATCTCCTGGAGTTGACAAGACTCCAATACAAACCTAAGAGGCGGTGACTCCAGCGCCCAACCCCCTTGGTCCCCCCTCCTCCCTCTTTGCTCTCCTATCACATGATTGTGTCTCTCATGTGCTTCTATCCTGCTTATTCTTTGCTTCCTTTTCTCCCCTTAGTTTTTTTTTTAATAAGGCCAGAGCTGATGGTGCCAATAAAAAAAAGATCTGCCCAGGCCAAGGGGCATCGGGGCTTTGTTTAGGGCAATGCACGGCATGGCAGATGTGCACCGAACCATTACATCCAGAGGCAGAAAATGGCTGCGGCATCCTGACCTTTCGGGTGTTTGTCTTGGGCGTGGGGTTGGCGGCTCGCTTGCAGGTGTTGCTCTGCGCAAGGCCAGGCGGGAGAGACGCCCCCCTGCGCCTGTTCGTTAAGAGCGGCCACGGGATCTGAACCGATCTCACAACAGCCCTGAGCCCGCCGGCAACAAGGTCCATGCAGATGGACCCTCTGCCGCTTCAGGGCCTAGCAGCAAGATTTGCCAAAGAGTTTATGGGATTTAGGCACCCCATTCCTATCAGCATTCAGTGGGAATTGGAAACCTCCATTGCCTTTTGAAAAGCCCACCCTATGCTTACATTTTAGGTTCTTTAAGAACTTGCTAGGCTTGACTAGGTTGAATTGGCTTGGCTGTGTGTACTGCAGACGTCCCTACGGGCCCCAATCCTGTTCGGGGCCCCATTGTGCTAGATACTGGACAAAAAGAGAACCACGAGACAGCCTCTGCCCCAACAGGCTTTCACGGATCTTGGAAGACAGAAAAGGGGAATATTAGGTTCTCCCACTTGCCAAAGCCAAAGATGTCTTTTCTCAATATTAAAAGGACCAGCAGCCCCTCCCTCCATATCCCCCAAGCCCTGCAGCTAAGCATAATGCTGTGTAAATGCTGTAATTGTACAGTAAAATCCTGGTACTTTGAGGCCTTAGAAAATGTTCACATGGGGCCTCATACCAGTCTGCGACCTGCTGACCTGGGTCATCCACTAGATAGTGAGGGATTTCCCCTAATTCTCCACTGCTTTGTCCAGTCTAGTTTTCAATATCGCTTAGTAATGGGTCTCGCAGGAATGAGAGGAATGGCTGAGACTGATGTTTATGTGTTTATTAGCTACAGAAGAAACGTCTGGGCCAGATCCTGCCCTAGATTACCTTTGTGCTATTCTTAGTGGGAGCTGTACAAACCTTTCTGAAGGGAGAATAGGCCCCATGTTTAGTAGCTCTGCTCCCTTAAGAGAGATCCTGGTGGCTCTTCTATTCCCAGCTCTCCCATTGGCCTGCTGGGTGACCCTGGCTAAGTCACTTCCCCGCTCTGTGCCTCGGTTTCCCCATCTGTAAAATGGGGATAATGATATTGACCTGAATATCAAGTGCTTTGAGAGCTGCTGATGCAAAGAGCTAGTGACGAGCTAGGGGTTAATATTGTTACAAGGATTCCTGGGATCAGTTTCTGGCTCTACCGCAGACCTGCCGTGTGACTTTGGACAGGCCACTGCTCCTCAATGGAGATAACACCCCTTCCGTCCTTCCCTTCCGTGAGGAGCCATTGGTCATTAATGTACAGAAGATGCTTAGCTCTTACAGCCATCAGCCCCTTGGAGAGGTCTATGATTAATGCACAGTAAGTCCTTCTTCTCAGGCATTTGTACATTTTCTGAATTGCCCTTTGGGCTGAAGTTTCTCCAGTTATTCCCAGACCAAGGGCGTGTTGATCTCTGAGGAAGTTCCATGGGGGAGTTTTTGCTGTTACCAGGCGTGGCTCTAGTGGCAGGGGCAGCGTGTGCTACCAAGCAGCAATATAGACTCAGAGACTTTAAGGCCAGAAGAGAAGCCCATGGTCATCTAGTCTGACCTCCTGCACGTTGCAGGCCACAGAACCTCACCCACCCACTGCTGTAACAGACCCATAACGTCTGGCTGAGTTACTGACGTGCTCAAATCAGGGTGTAAAGACTTCAAAGGACAGAGAATCCACCACTGACATTAGTTTAAACCTGCAAGTGACCTGGGCCCCATGATGCAGAAGAAGGTGAACCCCCCGCCAGGGTCTCTCCCAATGTGACCCAGGGGAAAATTCCTTCCTGACCCCAAACATAGTGATCAGTTAGACCCTGAGCATGTGGGTGAGACCCACCAGCCAGACACCCGGGAAAGAATTCTCTGTAGTAACTGAAACTAACCTTTTCCTTCTGCCTTAGGTAATAGCTTCAGACCCGTCTCCTCCCGATCTGATTTGTCCAAAGCCAGTCAGTTTATGAATAATGAAGGCATGAAAAATCACTGGAAATAACAGCCTACCGTGCACCCTCCCTGGGGGCTGTGACTCCAACAGCTGCACTGAGATGGGAGACCCAGCTAGGCAGAGGTTTCAGCAGCATTTACTGCAGTGATGCGTTAGTGACCTCACTAAGAGGCACCATAGTTGGCTGGTGACAGCGTAGGGACCCAAGAGACCTGGTGCTAGCTGCCTCTGTAACTAATGGCATGCAGTGGTGTTGTCACCGTGTCGGTCCCAGGATATTAACGAGACAAGGTGGGTGAGGTAATGTCTTTCATTGGACCCACTGCTGTCTCTCTCACCGACAGACGTCGGTCCAATAAAAGATATTACCTCACCCACCTTGTCTCTGTCACTGATTGGCGGTGTGTGCAACCTTGGGGCAAGTTACTAGGGCCCAGCTCCTCGAAGGGATTTAGGCACCTAATTCTCATGGGAGTTAGGCACCTAAATAACTTTGAGGAACTGGGCCGTCGCTGCACTGTGCCTCAGTTTCCCCATCTGTAAAATGGAGCGGATGCTGCTAATACTAGATGATCCCCACCACGCCGGTGCATGAAGGGTTCTCAGATCTGGGGGACCTGGAGTGCGACCCATGGCATGGGGGAGAGCCACATCCTTGGCCTCGTATCCCCTCCCTGCAGAATCTCCCCTGCCAGGGGTTTTTGCGGCCTGGTGGGGCAGAGCAGGCCACCTCCTGCTCTGCTGACATCTGAGCAGCTCTTTAACAGGGAGATGCTGCTTGAAGAAGCCATGCAGGAGTTGTGTGGAGCAAAGCAGCCAGACCAGACGCCCCTGTCTGTTCAGGATTGGGGCTCCCCTTCCCCTGATCGCCATAACCGTGGGGCACTTTCCCAGCTCCCAAGGGGACTGAAGGGGTTGGATCTGAATGTAGCACCAGGGATTAAAAAATTGCTTCTGCTTCACCTCCTGCCTGGTGAGGATCCGGGCTGTTTCTAGCTGGGCGCATGGTGCCATCTAGTGTTAACTGTAGTGAATTAAAGTGATGTAAAGGTTACTACTGTCCTTCATAGCATTAGAAATATCACATGGTAATGTCCTCGCTGGGCTTCTTGTTTAGTGTTCATGGATGCTTTTTAATTCAACCTAACAAGGAAATTCCCTGACAAAAGCTCCACTGAGGTGGAGCTCAGGCTGAGAAGGGAGATCACCCGCCCGATGAAGGGGGCTGTAGCCCACGAAACCTTATGCTCTAATAAATGTGTTAGTCTCTAAGGTGCCACAAGGACTCCTGTTCTTTTTGCGGATACAGCCTAACACGGCTGCTTCTCTGAACCCAGTAATTTAGGGTAAACGGTATTAGGGTTTGTTTCTTTTTTTACATGGTGGGGTATGAGCAGGCTTTGAACCCAGCCCCGTCACCGGCAGAGACAGCACAGACCTCGTCCACGGAACTAAGACAGTGGAGATCCTGAAAGGGGCGTGGGGGTGGGTGCACAGTGGAGGCCTGGGGGGATTTGTTGAGTGTGGGGGACCAATCTTTCCCCTCCACGTAGTCTGTCCCCTCACCCACAGGCATATTCACTCGGTCCTCCCCACTGCATGTCTCTGCTGGCCATTTACTCAGCCGTCCCCTTCTCATCTCCAGCTGAGATGTTTTCCTAAAAGATGGGCTGTAGGAATTATTTGGGGAAGTTCTCTGGCCTGTGGGATACAGGAGGTCAGAGATGATCCCAATGGTCCCGTCTGGCTTTATAAATCGCCACCCTCCCCCAAGTATTCAGCAACCCCCCCCCTTGTCTCCTGCCCCCCTCCTTTGGTCTCCCATCCTCCATCTCCCCCCATCCCTTGTCCCCTGCCCCCTCTTTCATCTCCTTCCTCCCCTTCTCCAAAGTCCCCAGAGTCAGTTTGGCAGCACTCTGGGGGGTGGAAAAAAACTTCATCTCTCAGCAACCCTGGGCCTGTGTCCTGTCACTCCCCCCCCCCCCTCAGAGGGAGATCTACCCCACCCTAGAGAGAACTAGCTCTAGGGTGATCAGATGTCCCAATTGTATAGGGACAGCCCTGCTATTTGGGGCTTTGTCTTATACAGGCACCTATTACCCCTCAGCCCCTGTCCCGATTTTTTAGACTTGCTCTCGGGTCACCCTAACTAGCTCCCACAGCCCCTGTGCCTGCATCTCCCCTCGTGACCTCGGCGAGTCTGCCCCACCCTAGAGAAAATGCCATTGACCCCCTCACTTCTGGGGTGGAGCATCTGCTTGGCAGGCTTGTGGCTGAATGTGAGGGGAGGGGCTCCCGGGGATGGGGAACAGAACTGGGTAGGGGGAGAGAAAGCGGGACTGGAGGGGTTACTAGTCCGCCGGCTGGCCGGCTTGTACAGTGCCAGGACTGAGAGCCATTGAGCCAAACAGTCAACCTTGCATGTCAAGCCAGGGGGTGCAGCAGTACCCCTAGGACCAGCAGCTATGCTGGCCGCACCGACCGCGCCTGCTAGACCTGACCTTTTCATCACCTTCTGCCTGCAGCCGTCCTCAAAGCACAACCAGCAGATTGCAAATGTACACACATTTGCATATATATATTTGCATAATGATACAGCGAAGGAGGAAAGAGGGCTGCAGTGAGGAGTGAAACCCCCAGA